AATTTCTTGTGTCAGAACAGGTGACGGGTGTTTCCCATGTGGAAGAGGCCATCCAGGTCCGTCTTCCGCTAATTTGTCTTAAAACAAGCTTTAACTCATGCTCAGCCTTTCCATTGTCATAGTCGATACAAGTGAAAAAGAATAGTGCTATTACTAGAAACAAGTGCATCGCTACTAGGAACAAGAAACTATTAGAAACAATAATTAAATGGACATTTTCTCAGACTTTGGGAAGAACTTGTGGTTTGTTCTCTCGAACACTTGCGTATTTGTCTCGTGGGGACTCCGGCTCAAGAATTGCTAAATTATTTGTAGAAAGGCTATAACATCACTATATTGAAATCAGACCTTGAAATCAGCTAAAAGAGGACCATGCGCGACACTGAAGAACAAACCAAAACAGCTGTTTGACTGTCTGAGTGTCAGAGAACCACGATTCGTGCACTGCAAGCGCAGCAATGGATCGCCTTGGTGACCCGGAAAAAAGTACATGGCGTACATGGCGTGAAGAAAAACCTGACATGTTTCGACATTGCCAACACGGCCTTGGTCAGTTGAGCTGTTTCTACTAGCGATGCCCTATCCTCCTAGTAGTATGGCCAGGAGCCCCTAGTAGCGATGCCCTTTGCTCCTAGTAGCGAACCTTGCTCCTAGTTTTATCACAAAGCTCGCATCAGAACTTCCGAGATTGAGAAAGGTATGATGACAGCTGGAATTGTGGCTGCAATTGTGGCTGGGGGCTTACTGCATTCAGATGCCTGTGTGAGATTGTGTGAGCCAAAAACATCCGCTGTGTGGATTGTTTGGTCACGAAATTCTGACGGAATACTGGAATGAAACAGGAAGCCATCGCTACTAGGGGCTCCTGGCATCGCTACTAGGAGCAAGGACGCTACTAGGGGCTCGCTACTAGTAACAAGAAGCTACTAGTAGTAACAAGGGCATCGATAGTAGGTTGCTTTGCCCCGTTCCTTCAAGCTCACGAGGCACTTTGCCTCAAGACGGCTGTGGCTTTCACCACACCAGGAGTCAGCTCTGATCTTAGCTCACACTTAATTGCTTTTTGCTCCTAGTAAGGCCAGGAGCCCGTAGTAGCGTCCTTGTCCCTAGTAGTAATGCCCTTTGCTCCTAGTAGCGTCCTCTTGCTCCTAGTAGTAAGGCCAGCCCCTAGTAGCGTCCTTGCTCCTAGTAGCGATGCCCTTTGCTCCTAGTAAACATTGTTCCTACCTGAGAATTATTTGATATACACTTTGTTCATGGAGATTCGTATGGAGACCGGACTACACTTGGCAGAGCATGACCACGCACAACCTCATCCACCTTTTGATACTGAGAATAGGAGCAATCCTTCAGAACAATCTCGAGGGCTGTTTCTGGCTGAACTTGTGTCAGGAATCAATGCGAAGTATCTCATCACTCTTGACAATCTGAAGTTTCTGCAAAAAGAAAGTTTCCTCTCTTACTTTCAAGAGTAAGCTCAGGTTCCAGCTTCCTCAGCCGTCCAGCAGGCAGAGTGAGATCATGACGATGGTGACCACAATAACGATTTGGTGAGACCACGCTACCATGAAGCATATGTAGTGTAAATACTCGTATTCTTATATTAATCCATATTTTTGCATTCATTTGTGTTCTCTCCTTCACAAATGGAGACCACTGTGAAAGGCTCCGCTGGGGAGAAACTCTGAGGTTACGTTTCTTTCTGGTGCGTGTGCTATTGCTAGCCATTGCTGATGATGGATCCACTTGGCCTTGACCCGATTTATGCCAACCAATTTGGTTTTCCATACTAGCGTTCTTGTTACTAGTAGTAAGGCCAGGAGCCCCTAGTAGCGAACCTTGTTCAGGCATTCATTGGCAGCCCAGTGCGGCCTTTGGAACCGTGGGCACCGGAGCATCGTTGGGCTTGGTGCTGGTGGATGCGCTCAGAACACGACGCGAGTGTGAGCGATGGCCTCGAAAAGCGCTGGTCTCCAGGGGTCGACGCTGCTAGTCCTAAGGACTTGAAACGCTGCCAGCAACCAGACTTGACGCTAAAGGACTTGAATCAATAGACTCACACTAGGGTGGAGGCCATCACTAGTAGGTTGGAGACTATCGCTAGTAGGTTGGAGGCCAATTGCTATTGGAAGCAAAGAAAAAAAGATAAGGAAGAAAGGTCCAATATAGTTTACTTTCTACTGGGAGCAAGAAGCTACTAGGGGCTCCTGGCATCGCTACTAGCAGCAAGGAGCGCTACTAGTTTGCTCTTAGGTTGGAGGAGTTGCACCCGACTTCGCCCATCTGAGGCCTTTTGTGCCAGTCGCCCTTGGCCAAGGCGCTTTGTGCGCTTTGTACACTTGCAGGATCCAGATGTTTTCATCAAGCAAGGTTTCTATTCGGTTGGAGGCCATCGCTATTGCAAGGATGTTGTGAACATTGTCCACATCTTCGTTTATTTTAGCAAAAGCATTTCTAACGTATACGTATAACGCAGGGAGTGTAGGTTTCTATTCTTTTTGGATTCTTCTCCGGTCCCAAACTGCTGTGCTTTGGACTCGCCATTTCTCCGATTTGGAAGGGCCACCGCAGTAGGCCGTTCTGGCAGGCGCGCACCAGCGGAGACTTGGGGAGGAAAGAACTTGTTACAGTCAGAAACAAGAATGGCTCAGAATGGCCTGAACGCTTTTGATTGAAGCTGTTTGAATCAGCAATCGAGCTGTTTGACTCGAAGATTCATGCCATCAGCACTAAGTTGCTAGAGCTGCGTGTGCGATGGCCCACATTGATCTAGAGCTGTCTCACAAGCGTGAGCTCTTAGCTCTTTCTCAGCAGATCTTTTTAAATGATTTGGAATGACGCTACTAGGTTGGAGGCCATCGCAGATCGTTTTAACCGATTCAGAATGACATTAACAGGTTTTGGGGAGAAACCACCACCTGCGGACGACCACCAGGCAAATTGCAAGAGTTGTGCGACGGGCCATGTTTGAACGCTTTTCCCCTGGTTCAATGAAGGCAGGGCACGCCAGTCGCTTTGTGTCAGTTTCTGTATGTCAAACATGTCTAAATCATCCTACCCTCTACTTTGCTTGCTTCCAAAGAAACGGGACAAGAAGCAATGCATCTCTTAGACAAAGCTGAGCTCGCTATGGCTGCCAAAACACGTATGTCAAGTGTAGTTATTTTTCACCATACATGTACATAGACTACCGACCATACTGCATCATATTTGCCTCAAGAAAAAGGTGTACCTTTTTGGCTGTTACCTGTTTGAACTAGTAGTTGCTGCTGGCCGGAATCATTCACGAAGATTCTGATCAAAGGACACCAAACAGGTCTTGATGTACAACAAACAATAAAGAGACAACAATAAGGTACGGGATAAGGAAACACGTAGGTTGGAGGCCATCACTATTAGGTTGGAGATCGCTAGTAGGTTGGCCATCGCTACTAGGTTGGAGACCATCGCTATTAGGATGGAGGCCATGGCTATTAGGTTGGAGGCCATGGCTATTAGGTTGCAGATCAGAGCTATTAGGTTGGAGGCCATCGCTCTTAGGATGGAGGTCATCGCTATTGGGATAGATGCCATCGCTCTTAGGTTGGAGGCCATCTCTATTAGGTTGGAGGCCACCGCTATTAGGATGGAGGTCATCGCTTTTTGGATGGAGGCCATCGCTATTAGGTTGGAGGTCATCTCTATTGGTTTGGAGGGCATTGCTATTAGGCTGGAGGCCATCGCTATTAGGACGGAGGCCATCACTATCAGGTTGGAGGCCATCTCTATTAGGTTGAAGGCCGTTGGAGGTCATCTCCATTAGGTTGGAGGCCATCGCTATTAGGATGGAGGCCATCGCTATTAGGATGGAGGCCATCGCTATTAGGATGGAGGCCATCGCTACTAGGTTGTGTGCATTCGTGTTCATATCTACACAATGTTTACAAGACAAAATTGAGGCGGTGATGCTTGCACAAGCTGAGTCACGGAGCCTGGGTGGGGAGCCCTGGTTCCAAAACACAGAAGGCACGAAAACAAGAAAAAGGAAGAACCGTCTAAAGGTCGACAGAAAGAACGAAAAAGAGCAAGGGTTCCTTCGTCAGGAATGGTAGCATCCTTGTTGACATTTTGACATTTCTGGTGGACTTGAGTAATTAACACTGATAGTCGAAGTTCAAAGGTTAGTCACTCATCGCTGCGCGAAAGCACTCAAGCTATCCCCCGGACAAAAGAAGGCTACAGGGATTCAGGTGTCAGACCGTGAATTGCACAATCTGAAGTCATACTTGCAGCCATGGCCTCCAACCTACTAAGCTCCACAATGAAAGAAGGGACCGTTTTGTCATCGATGTCTCGCTGTACCGGAGCGAAAACGTGAAACTCCGACTTCGTCCGTAAAAGTATGGGAGAGAGGCCGCTGCTATTGAACAAGAAGCTACTAGGGGCTCCTGGCATCGCTACTAGGAGCAAGGACGCTACTAGGGGCTCCTGGCCTTACTAATAGGAACAAGAAACTGCTGGGATAAAACATGTCATCACTTTTGTAAAATACATTGTTTTCATCACTCTTAGATTGGAGGCCATCGCTAGTAGGTCGGAGGCCATTGCTACTCGTACAGGTTTTCATAACGTGTTTATGTTTTTACAGTATTTCGAGCCACTCCATCTCAATGGTTCCTCGGAGAGCGCTGGGTGCCTGTGGACTCGTGACCAACCAACTTGCACCAACACATCAGAAACCTCACGGTCAATGACGCCATGGCCAAGAACACTCCGTTGAGGAAGAACAGGAGCCCCTAGTAGCCCTAGTAGCGTCCTTGCTCCTAGTAGTAAGGCCAGGAGCCTTGTTGTTTCTTGCTCAAGAAGCCTTTGCGTTGCAAATGTCCACTCCATGATTCAAAACATCGTTTGAAAAGACCGTGCGCAACGTTCACGCACGTTTCTCGCGTTTCTCAATATCAAGTTGTTTCGTGAAACCCTTTATTCTTTTGGTCCCTTCTCAGCGTGTTTCTTTTCAGGTCATGATTACGCAGGATTCCGAGAGTGTCACAGACCGACTGGAAACGCAGAGTGAAGACATTTCAGAGTCTTGAGCTGCTCAGCAGCCCGTTGTTGCCACTGATTGAACACAAGGCAAAGAACAATTGCATATGCTTGGGTGTTTGAGTGGTTAACTTTGGGTCGGCACAGGCCGAGCCAGTGGCAACAGTACTTGATAGCGATGGCCTCCAACCTACTTGCGATGGCAAACAACCTAAGAACGATGGCCTCCAACCCAATAGAGTTGCTCCGAAAACTTAAAGCTACTAGGAACAAGTGCATCGCTTCTGGTAACAAGTGCCTTACTACTAGTAACAAGAAGCTATTAGTATCTATTAGTTATTTTAATTCAATTTTAATTTAGTTCTAATAGCTTTTTGTTACTACTAGTAAGGCACTTGTTACTAGTAGTAAACATGTGTCATTTCCCATTGAGGTGGGCGCTGAGATGCTGGTGGTGGGAATTCTCGCCGAAGGGAACGAGAAAGGCTGCCGCGTTTGAGCCCTGGGGAAATTGTGGCGGAAAATAAGTGCGACAGAACGAGTAGTCACCAACTCTCACTACTTGTACTAGCGATGGCCTCCAACCTACTAGCGATTTGTATGATGATAGTTTGAGGCCCACAGACAGGGACCTCAAAGACAGACAACTATAAAATGCACGAAAATGTTTACACTGTCTAAGAAGATCCTTTCTGCAGAGATCACACAACTGAAGAGGGCAGGAGAGAAAACTTATTCAGAGTTGTGCCGCAGAGGAGCAATGTTCACTACTAGGAGCAAGGGCATCGCTAGGAACAAGGACGCTACTAGGGGCTCCTGGCATCGCTACTAGGAGCAAGGACGCTACCAGGGGCTTACTACTAGGAGCAAGAAGCTATTAGAAACAAGAGTTCATTAGAATTGAAACAAGAAGCTACTAGGACCTTTTGAAATCAGGGACGTAACATTTAGACGGAAGGAAGGACAGAGGTAGAGGAGAGGTCAGGAAAGGGAAATGTCTAACAGAAGAGAGCCGTGGAGTGGGTAGAAAAGAGGAGATAACAAACGGAACGCTAGCGGTGACCAGGATAAAGTGAGGGGCTCTATTAGGTTGGAGGCCGGGCCTCCATCGCTATTTCCCTCGTAATCGCAATGCAATCCCACTCCTGAGGCATTGGAAGCTGCTGGCATCACCCTCTCCGAGGCAGAGAAGAACAGGGGTAGACAGTCATAGACAGTCGACATGTGAAGAGATGTGAACTTATAGACATGTGGTGAAGCTTCAAGTTAAAGAAATGTTTACATTTTCAAGTTAACCAAATCAATCGTGCGAGGGCTCCTTTGCGTCCAAGCTGAGTAACCACCTAGTTACCTCTTTCTACATTAGCTACTTGTAAGCTACTACCTCTTACCGGCCTTAACCCTCCCCCCATCAAAAAGAAACGGCTGCCTTATTTGTTCATCATTATTTGTTGCTACATGACTCCCTTCGTTACAATCCTTCTTGAGCTTCTCAGGCGAAAGCCCGGCTCCGAGAAATGGTTGGCCAGGGCAAAGGCGGCAAGGAGGCTTGAACCAACTGCAACAGCAGAAGCCGTCCGTTTCCAAAGACTTGTTTCCAATTCACCAAAGTCTTTTCGTTTGGAAATGTTCGAGAGTTTGTCTAACACCTGAAGGTTTCTTTTGCTTTTAGACATGGAACCCGGCACAGAACGTGGAGATCCCCTTGACGCAAGAAGCCATGAAGGTTGGGACAACGGGACCGGTGTTTGAGAAGCGTCCGATATGGGTTTGGTCAAGTCTGTTTGAGACGTCGATACATCTGCCTTTCAATGAAATCAACTAGACATAGATCCGTTAGCTGAAGAGATTCCTTGCGACTCATTGTGGGAAACTGGACATATCAGATTTTGATAGCCCTGCGTTTGTTAATCAACGGGATGCTTGGACTGCACCTTTTTACTGTGGCTGATTTGTTAGAGAATTGCACACAAACAAGTTATGCCCACTTTTCTCTTTTCGCTTTCATGTGGTTCAATCTGCTTGAGCGTCGCCAGAGGAAACTTGCATCTTCTTGTTGGATTCGTAGCAGACTGTTCTTCCTCGCATGCTTCGCGGTTACCACCTTCTGCTGCCATGCACGTGGTGATCACGGTTACCCGGTTGTATTGGTCACAGGTAATTCGGATGTCGATCTACATGCTTGGTGCTTCCGGTACAAGCCGTCCCTTCAAAAGGCAACCTGCGCCCTGTTAAGCATGTGTTTTTCAACATTGGGTCCAAACTCGAAGATATCAAAGCTGGTGGTGACCATGCTGCTCCAATCAGCTGTTCAGTCAAAGCTCCATGTTCTTGCTTTTCTAATTTGTATTTTTTCTATCCTTACGCCTTACGCATGACCACGGTGGCACAAAGATTTTTTTCACGGCACCACCAACCACCACACTTGGTGCGGGAGAACGTGGGAGTAGTGTAGTTGAATGGTGTACGTAGTTGAGAAGGCCATGCTATTAGGTTGGAGGCCATTGCTTCTAGGTTGGAGGCCATCGCAAGTAGGTTGTCGGAGGCCATCGCTAGTAGGTTGGAGACCATCGCTTTTAGGTTGGAGGCCATCGCTATTAGGTTGTTGGAGGCCATCGCTAGTAGGTTGGAGGCCATCGCTAGCTATATTTAATTAATAAGTGAATTATTTACTTAAAATCCATTCTAAGTATTCTTAATCACTAGCTTCCCGTTCCTGACTATTCTCAATTAGGAGCTTCTTCGCCGCCTACTCCCCCGCCCGTCAGTACCGAAATCGTGTCAGGTCTTGGAGGAAGCCGGGGAACTTTCCAAACGAGAGGATTGTGCGATGGTCGCTTGGTCGACATTGACGTGGTGAGTCTACAAGGTCTAGAAACCCAAAGAAAGAGACGCAAAGGATACGGGCCCTCTTTAACACGGTCCCTTCAAAAGGGGCCTTATTTCAGTTGTTCTTGCCGTTTTTTCATTCCTAATCCGACTATAAATTCAGGTCGGCTCAGATCACATCTTGCGGGCCATCATGTCACAGGCGCGGATTCGTTCAGCTCTGAGTTTTGTCGACAAACCAGTGTCCAGTGTGTAACAAAGTGTCAAGAAGGTTCTTTGGCCAAGTGTTTTCTAAACAAGACGACAAACTCTTTGATTTTCTATATTGAAACTAGTAGGTTGGAGGCCATCGCTATTTGGCTTTCTATGCTTTTCTATGCTTTTCAATGAGAGTGGTTGAAGCTGAAACGATCAGCTTCAGGATGAGAGCCTTGGGACCAAACTCATTGGGCGGCTAGCCTCAGCCGGACTTTTGCACCTTCCCGTCGTTCCATCCCTTTTGACACATTTCTTTAGACTACTAGTAAGGCACCTGTTACTACTAGCGTGGCACTTGTTTCTAA